AAATAATTTGTATTTAAACGTAATTAATTTTAATTAATATTCCTATAAGGCGAACACGCACTTTAAATATATTTTTTATTGATTTCTGTGTTAGTTTGTTTCAACTTGCATTATTGATTCGATATGTTTCTTTTTATTATTATTAATTTTTCAATCAAAATTCTTGTATAATCTTTGCACAAATCAGAATTGGAAAACAAACACCAACTCAGCAAAACGCCAATTGGGCGACAGTGAGAGAGAACGTAAACCGTTATTCGTTAGCGTACCGACGGCGCGTCAATGAGCTTTTTGGGGGCCTTTGGCTGGCGCTGAGGCCACGACGAGCACAGCACACGAGAGGACTACGACGATAACTGAGACTGCAAGAAATCAACGAAACGAATTGCATTCGAATGGGAATCGTCACTCACTACTCGCACAAACCTCCCACACACAAAGACACATTAATTGGTAAAGCCGCTGTAACGCGCTAGACAGAGAAAGAGAGTGAGAGAGCGAGAGGCCATACACACACGAATCAAATGTATTTTCTTTTTTTTTCTTCTTCTTTATATTTTATACACCCACACCACGAGGCGCGTCGTTCCGTTATGTACCGAGATACATTTTCGTTCACGATGTCGCGAGAGTCGAAAATGGAAATGCGCGCGCAAAACTTTTATTGCATTACCTTTGCTTACGAATGACAAATTCGTAATGAAAGGCGAGCCAAATGTGTTTCGTTTCGTTGCCAGTTTCCAGTGTTCAAACCAAGCCTCGGCGTCCGCAGCGCCAGCAGTAGTAGCTGCAGCCCCATCTACATTACATATACATGTACACAATCAGATGTATGTATGCGTGTGCCTGTGAGTGTGTGCGTGTGTGTATCTGCGATTGTGCAAAACCCGAAACGATATGTATACGAATGCGTTGCTGTTTGAATTGTACACCAATACAAACAGAAAGTGGGAGTGGTATATAATAGTTACTTCTGTCTGTGTGTATGTCTCTGACGCTGTCTGGCTTTGTGCGCTTGTGTTAGCATCCCCGAAAACACAATGACAAACGTAATAAAATACAAACAAAAACAAACACAAATGAAATGAAACACAGAAGCAGAAACGACAGAACGAGAACGATGGCTGAGACGGAAGAAAATTAGCAGCAGCAGCAGCAAAAGCAGCACACACACAGATGCATGTATGTATGTACATATATACATTGACAGCGCTCTCTCACTCAAACTTTCCTAAAAAGCAGCACTGACGCTGACGCTGCTGTCGCCGCCCTATACAATACGGTAACATTCGTTTTATTTATTTTTTCATTTCGTTTGTTGGCTTGGCGTTTTTTGATTGCGACGATTTCATTTCATTTGCGTTTCAATTTCATTTCGTTTCAGGCAACAGGGTACATTCTCTCTCTCGCTCAATCTCCCTCTCGCTTGTTCTCAATGGATTGCAAGCACCGCACTCGCTTACACAACGCGCACATACAACGTGCACACAGAGCAGGTGGCTTGCAACCAATAAACATGAGGGAGCGTGAGCGACACATTTACATATTTGCATTGTGTGTGTATGGTTGAGAGTGAGCGCTGCCCAGTAGCGCGCGCTCACTCACTCCAATGGCCGACGTCGCTTATATAAACAAATGACAATTGTTTTGCATTTCTGTTCGTTGGCTCCTTTTTTTACTTTTTGCTTTTCTTTATGTCAGAGTAAATTAAAATAAATGCATTGCATTTGCAAAAAACTTCGTGTACTCCCGACGTTAAACTTCGATCTCGACTCCGACTTGGTGGCAGCTTGTGCGCAGCTGCTTAGCGAGCGATTCGTTTTACTTTATTTTTGTTAGCTACACAGCTCATTTTCTTATTGGAAAAGCATTTTAATTTCAATTAAAAAAGTAAATGACAAAGTTTTTGAACCCCTCCGCTGGCTGAACCTACTCTACACACTCGAATTGCCATTACCCTATTCTTATCAAACTCGGCTTTTGGGTGTGTAAGCGAGACAGCTGCTGCTGCTGCTGCCGCCGCTACTGCTCGGGATGAAGTCCATCTCATATATTCACTGTTTTTTTTATGCTATTTGTGGGTTTGTCAACCGTTTCCCTTTTCGTTTCTCATTCGTTTCACAATTTTCCATTTCGTCTTCGGCGTCGCATTTATATTTCTTGCAATTTTTTGCTTCGATTCTGAACGGTTTGGCAATAGTCGTCCTTCCATCCCGCTCGCACTCGTTGCCATTTTAAAACATGCACTGTGAGCGTGTGTGTGCGTGTGTGGCTACATAGCAGGAGTTGGGAGCCCTGCTCAAGTACGAATGCTCGACTTTTGGGGCTGGCCTGGGGCGCTTATACTTATAATAAAATACCAAATACTTGTCGTTGTCGCACCTTTTTGGCATCTTCTGATATTTACATATACATATGTATGTATTTTATATGAATGTAGCATGCATACATATATACATGCATACAAACATATATACACACACATACCATGTCCATATACGAATGTATTTTGAGTATATACGAATGCATGAGTGTGTGTGTGTGCTCGGCGTCAATGCTGTGGGTTTTCTTCTCTTTTATTCTATTATTTGTTCCCAGTGGCTGCCGCTGGCGATTCTTTCTGTTATATGTGTTTGTGTATCTTATTCAATTTCAGTTGGCGCCACCAATCGGAAATCGTTCTCTTCTCATTGCCGTGTTTTTTTGAGAACATTTCTTTTTTTTTTTTTTTTTGTTCTGCTCTTTTCCCACATTGTACATATGTATGTTTGTATGTAGCTGAGTATATGTTGATACATAGACGTTTTTTTTATGTATTTGCAGTTATACATACAAACACATTTATAAGAACTCGTATGTGTATATATATATATATATATATGTGTCTATATGTACTTTTATGGCAAGTATTATAATTCCCATTGCTTTTCTGTAGACTGAAATATGTATTTAAAACGATTATAGAAATTCCTTTGTATTAAAATTTTGCTTTATAAGAGAATATAAAAATAAAATAAAAAACAACAAAAATTAAAAATGGAATATGTCTTAATTTGTACCATAAATTTTAATAGAACTTATACGGACCACAGGCTAAGGACATATAACATATGTATATATTTGAATATATGTGTTGTATTTCTTTTCTGGACATACTTGTTTTAAGAACTATATTCTTTTTTTTCTATTGATCTCTATTAATAATATGTTTTCTAGGATCGTTCAATTATCTTAGTGTTTGATCTTAACACAATATTTTGCTCTGCGAATATCATTAATAAATAGATAAAACTACAGATCATAGCTCTAGTTCATAGTATTATATTATATAACAATGATTATAAGGATACATCATGCCTGAAGGCCTTTGTCACTCTGGCTTAACAAATTGTTATTTAGAATTAATTCTTGATAACAATAAATAAATAAATAAATAAATAAGGATACATCTTGGTAACAAATCATAAAACAAGGCTATGAACTAAAACTCTACTTAAGTTCTATAAGTTTTATATATGTTTCTCCTATATGTTATAAGGATTTGCAATAAAAATTTTTCGTGACAATTTCACACACATTTTAATGTACTTAAACTTGTGGTTAACTAGTTAAACAGTTTAAAAAATATTTTTCTGTATTTATTCTCTACTCTACACACATATGCATATATTCTATTATATGTAAATATTAAAGCTTCTCATTTCAATCAACATCAATATATGATTTAATATATAAATAA